GATTTTCGACAACCTTATCATTACATTGATTAGAACATGAGGTTCATATTCAGCCGCTTAGAATTACTTACCACATCGACCATTGGGTCTGATACTTCGATACGAGGCAGCGGGACATAGCGTATTTTCTCGAACAACGAAGGCAGGATAATGCTGGTAACATCCTTGACGAGATGGTCTTTAAAAACCATCTTTCCAGAGTCGTCGTAGCCGAGGTTGTGAAATAGCTTTTGCAAAGAATTGCTCAACTCTTTATTCAAGGGGTCCTGATCAAATTGATCCCCAAGTAATTTCATTTCATCCACGATGTTATCTGTATTTTCACGGTACCTAGCTCGCAAGAGGAATTGGCCTTCATCGTAAAGGCTATTCCATTGTTTATTTGCGGAATCTTCTAAAATAAACCCTTGCTCTTGAAGGCATTTTCTAAAACCCAACCTGATTAGAACCAGCCTCGATGTTAGACAACTGGAGCCTCAAGGCTTACCTGGTGAAAGAATTCACGGATCTAAACCAGTCTTTCAGCCGTGGATCTTCATTAGCGGCATGATAGAAGTTTTCAATATAATCGAAAAGATTGTCCATTGAAGAGCTATTCGCAAACCGTTCGAGGATCAGCTGGAGTTTTTTCATGGCATCTTTATTCTCGTCTACTAGTTCTGAAGCCGCACAATTAGTATGGCCACATTTGAAGGGCGGAACTCGTCACACACCTCTGGTGGCTGAAGCACCCTCCTGAGAGACGCCTTTGCCATGACCACCGAAAGTTTCTGCGAGTGAAAGCAGGGTTTCAATTGCTTGCTGATCTACAAATAGAGGAAATTATTTAGCAGTGTTCTAGGATATCGTGAATCCTGTGGACCACTTACAGTCGGGGTGGCCTTGGATTTCCACAATCATCCTCTTTAATCGCCAAATTGTTTGATCACGTCGCTCTTTCGGCATCCTCTCTTGCAGAAACTCCTTCACCTTCTCGGTAAGCTCACGGGAACGGGTCTTTGTTTCCTCCGGGACATCCTCAGATTTTTTTCTAGCGCAGCCTGAGCTCCAGCGGTTGTGCCAGACGTGGCATCTACGCCACCCTCAGGGCCAGTTGGATGAGCTGCGCTCTCAGCAGTTTCTGCCGTGTCTTGTACATCTTTGGTAGCCTAGGGATACATGAGCGAAGGAATAGACACCAGTGCGGAGAAGTGCGAGCACACCTTTTCCTTCCTTTTTCCCACCTGTGAGTTAATCCGTGATTTTATGTTGGCTGTTGAAAGTTCAGGCTTATCATGCCAAACGTTCTCTTCCGCAGGCTCGTCTATTCCAGACATCTCTTCTTCTGACGGCTTGATCTTTCCTGCAGCCCTTTGTGCAACATCGCTAGCCATGTCACGCATAAAGTATTGTCACATCACGAACTAGAATAGGCCGGTTAGGACGGAAATGAAGTAGATTTATGGATTCCGTGAGATAGATATACGTACGAAGCTTCCGGAACTGGCCATTGGTTACAAGCAAAGTGAAGAGCGTTTGCACTCCCTCAGCAGCCCGTTTAAGATCCGTTTTCACAGCATCTTTGTCAGTTGAAACCCCTGGAGTCGGGGTTGTGGAGCGCTCCCCAATATGTTCCACGTCCCAGATGAACTCCTGTATCAAATTCCCCTCGTTTTTAACTAGAATAAGATTTTTAGCGTTTTCAATCACATCGCGGACATCTTTGATGAGTATGTGGCCTTCGGGCGAGAGGCTACTAGGAGGGGAAGAGAGAGCGTCTGAAGCCAAGAGACTATTCAGGGCAACATCGATTTGCTTATTCTAGAGATGGGTTAGCAACTTGAACCCAGGGCTTTCGAAATACGAACGTACCGATGGGACCTTTCCAATTTTGAATGCTAGCCAGCGAAATTGCCATTAGAGACGATGTAAAATGGAGCTTGGCACTGAGAGAATAAGCTGCTACAAACCAGAGTAAATGCCATAGAGCTGCAGTTTACGATTGATATCCTACATTTCGCCAGGTGTTAGAGCAAATGCTTGTAAAGGAATGGAAATTGTAATACATACAGCCTCCTTCACCTTCGGATCTGAAGGAACATTGACTTCGTTGCGATTCATCCTGAAGACAACAGTTGAGAATGGTAGAATTTATTCGGATAGGAACAAGCTCTGAAGAGGGCGGACTGAAATGAATATTCAAGGGTGGCTACTGATATAGATGGAGAAATGCCAGCGCAAGAAAAGCTACTCGAAAGTACTGCATCGGTTGCGTCGGGGTCTCTCTCACCATAGGGTATCAAAAGACCCAAAGCTGTAGCAGCAGTAAATTTGCTAAAAGTTTCGCAACAGTTCAGCTTCAAATCGAGGTGGATGGAAGCGAGGCAAAACCAGCCAAAAGAAGCAGATAATGACAGTTCAGAAATTCAAAAGGGGTGGAAGCTGGTAATGTGTTTAGATATAGAAGGGGAGCGGAAACATTGGGAAAACAGGAAGCAACCCTTGACGTCATGGTTGGGTAGCTCCAATGTCAATCGAATCGGGACTCTATATTGGCGGATCAAAACACTAACGACGCCATTGTTGCACTGAGTGGCTAAGATAATCCAACCACGGTTGAAGTTCAGTTCTTATTTTTTATTTCGTTTCCCCCCTGTTGACCAAAATTTCAAGGTGGAAGAGAATTGGTGGATCTAAACTTGTCATTGAACCAATTACCGAGCATGGAAAAATTTTAAGTCGAAAACTTGGTTCGAGACAAACATTTACATCATCATCCTGTACTAACCATGAACTTAGCTGCGAATATGCCGTGTTTTTCAAGGTCATAGCCTGTGATGTAAAGTGGCCAACTTCGTTGGTGAAGTATGTTTAATTTGAAACATTCAGGATTTGCTCAACTGAGTTGTGTTTCTCCTTGTAGTTCGGGCTGTCATGGGGAGCTTCTGCCATATCTGCTATATGACATCATTTTCCTGCTCCAAAGACTGATGTTAGTCCATGGGTAACAGTTGGAGGGATTGTACTGTACAGATCATGGTCTGAGGGATGTGTCAAAACACACAAGTAGGCGCCTGTCAACTTTAAGCAAATTTGGGGCCATCTGTGTTCCCGATTCAGAAGTCCGTCATTAGACATTCTCGCAGTGACCTGGTACTCCGTCCGACGTGTAACCTATTAAGTTAACCAAAGGATCTCGATATTGGGATTCTTGACAATTTCAAAGATTCCACGATGAGAC